GAGACTTCCAAAACAATATTAAAAAATAAATTAAAAAGATTTCTCATCAGCAAGGCTATTTTTTCTTTTGAAGAGTTGAATAGTCTTTGAGGTCAAAAACTAATGCAGGATATGTATTTTCTGTTTACAATTTATTTAAAAAAAATGTAAGATTGTGAAATTTTGTTTTTATTTTCTTATGTTAGAAATGTATTTAATAAATATTAGGCCTACTTGCAGCTGAACTGTTGACACTATTCAATGTATTTTGTACAAGAGATGAATAAAGTAGTATTGAATTGAATTGAATTGTTCTTTATTCCCATATACTATCGAGGTGGCAGTATTTCTGATGGGTTTCCAGCAAGTAATGTACAATCCATAAGTAAGGAGCAGGTAAGAGAATACACTTTCCTCCCCAGATTGTTTCTCAAGATGTATGTTATAGTCCCTGGCCAGTGGCCAGGGCTATTTGTTTTCCGAGCTGAAATTCAAACGAGAAATGAAATTTAAACTATCACTTAGCTGTTCTATGAATTGTGGGAAATCACCATTGGAAGAGCGATAAAGCGATATTATTATTAAGTCAAGTGTCCAGCAGTTCAATGGCTACAATTTCAATGGTCTTTTCTATGCAAAAGTTATGTATATAGATTTCCTTAAAACTAATATATTTATTTACAAAGATTGCTGGTCCTCCATGTATAAATTCTTTTTGGCTGTAGATTGAAGCCAGAAAAAGGCCAGGCCCTATTCTGGAGTAAAATTCAGATTCTTCTGACCTTAGCCAGTGCTCAGTTACACATAACACAGTGGGATTGATTTAATTTAGAAACAGGTCAAGAACAATAATTAACTTAGTTCGGAGACATTAAACATTCACAGAGGCTATCACCATGTCAGGGTTAAAACTGTTTACATTTATTTGCCTAGGCCATTTCAGAAGTAGGCAGCCTGGACCTACCAAGACTAAGATCATTTGAGGAGTGTTGTTATTAGGCCACTTATTACTGTCCATTACAGTATATTTTTGAACAAAGTCAACACCAAGTTTGAAACTATCATTGTGGCGTTTGCTTTCAAGCTGCTCTATTTCAAATTTAACCTCAGGAAAGGTTTTGTTTACAATATTTGGGACATCATTTGAGCTGGACCCTTTAGCTACTCTCCCCAAATGAAACCAAGCCTTCTTTGTTCCACACAACCCCAGACAAAACATTTTCTGAACTAGTAGTGCCTACAATTCTCAGATTTTTGTTATTAATTCTAGGCCTATTCTTAGGTTTGACAGTTAGAGGACTTGACTAACTACTAGGGCTATGGCTTAGGCCCGGTTCACACGAGCGACATACCTAGCTGACTAGGCTGTGACTAGGTAAGCTTGACTGGGTGGCGTACCACAGGATAACACCGGTTCACACGAGCGACATGTCCACTGACTAGATGAAAATATCGATATCAAAACCACTCGGATCCATAACTGGTGCACAATGGGAACAAAGGGAAGAATGCGAGCTGCAGCGCGACTACCCAATCGCTCGTGTGAACGCTCCAAGGCTACGTGTACTGCTACGCCGCTCGACTGGGTTCAATTCAATTCAATTCAATTCAAATTCTCTTGATTCATTCACAGTACAAGTTTTTATACAATGAATAGCGTCAAATAAATATAAAGATGAATTATGCTTTACTTATCGCTAAAACAATCATTATCTTTTCAAAACAAATTTTAAGCTTAAGAATAATAAACAAAACAAAATTAAATCAAATCACCTTGCTAAACTATTATTTATGATTTCTCTTGAATTCCAAAATTCATCCAAAGAATACAAAGACAATGAAAAGAGATAATTTTTTAATCTTTTTTTAAAAACGTCAAAACATTTTTCCTCTATTATAACTTTAGGTAAATTAAATAAGAATTTGTCCTCAAGAAGGTTTTGACTACCAACCCCTTGATCCTTTTGAGCATGTACAACGCCTGCCTGGTTGAAGGGTTTTCCCCTTGTGCTGGAAGACAGCTAGGCTTGTGCTTGTTGGGAAGGGCAAGGGAGACCCAGATCTGCCATCCTCTTACAGACCTCTGTGTATGTTGGATACGGCTGGCAAAGTCCTCGAGAAATTGATCCGTTCCCGGCTAAATTCAGCCGTTGTCGCTGCGGGGGACCTCTCCCCTCGTCAGTATGGATTCAGGATGGGGCGATCAACGATTGATGCGATTGAGGAGGTGAAGCAAGCCGTGATGAGAGCTGAGGATTTTACCCACTACTCTCGCAGGGTTGTGCTGCTCGTAACGCTCGATGTGCGAAATGCATTTAATTCGGCGAGGTGGTGCGATATGCTGGATGCTCTGGAGAACACCTTCCACGTGCCGGCATACTTAATGCGCATCATGGAGGATTATCTCCGGTTTCGCCTCCTAACGTATGACACTGCGGAGGGCCCGCGGACGATGAGTGTCACTTCTGGTGCTGCCCAAGGTTCCATACTCGGCCCAGACCTCTGGAACGTCGCTTATGACAGCCTTCTGAGGTCTGAAATGCCTGAGGAAACGGTCTTGGTTGGGTACGCAGACGACGTTGCAGCTTTGATAGCTGCACGTAGCGTTGAGCTGGCTCAGCTAAAGCTAAACCGAGTTATGCGTACCATAAACGCACGGATGGCAGACCACGGTCTCTCGCTTGCTCTGAGCAAAACCGAGATCGTGATTTTGACAAAAAAACGGATTGACACCATCGTGCCGTTGAGGGTGGGAGCCGTCGAGGTTCAAACTGTTCGTTCTGCCAAGTATCTTGGGGTCATGGTAGACAGCAAGCTTAGCTGGCGGGATCAGATCTTCCGTACAGCGGACAAGGCCGCTAGGGTGGTTTCTTCTCTTAGCCGGTTGATGGCCAATGTCGGAGGGCCTCGGTCCAGTCGTAGAAGGCTGTTAATGTCTTCGGTCCAGTCCGTACTCTTGTACGGCGCGGAGGTGTGGGCAGACGCACTAAATAAGGAGGCATACAGGATGCGGCTCGCCCGAGTGCAGCGTCAGGCAGCACTGAGGGTAGCATCTGCCTACCGAACAGTGTCCGAGCCCGCCGTCCTGGTGATTGCTGGAGTCATCCCCGTCAAACTTTTGGCGGCGGAGAGAAAGGCAATTTACCGGCGCCGTGGGGAGGACGAGGCACGAACAGAGGAACGCACCCGCACCTACCAGCTGTGGCAGGAGGGCTGGGAACAGGAGACACGGGGACTCTGGACCAGGCGACTGATACAGCAAGTCCAACCTTGGGTTGATCGGCGGTACGGAGAGGTGGACTTCTACCTCACCCACTTTCTGACGGGACACGGCTTTTTCCGGTCGTACCTGTTCAGGATGGGCAAAGCCGTGTCACCCGACTGCATATACTGCCCAGGCATTCTCGATGACGTGGAACATACATTTTTCCACTGCCAGCGCTGGGAAAGGCCCTGCCTGGAGGCTCAACAATTAATAGGACTGCTGTCGGTGGACACGGTCATACCGATTATGACGGAGGGTGAGGACAATTGGACCTGTGTGTCACATTATATCCAGGGTATTCTCCGCGCCAAGAAGATCGACCTTGACCGGGATGCGGTGTAGGTCATTAAGAATCTAAATGCCAGAAACGGTGCGAGCCCTGAGGGCTTAGGTCACATGTTGGCCTGACTTGAAGTAATGTGACAAACAATTCCAGGTCTGTGTCCAACAGAGTAGAGGGGGTTTTTTAGTGAGTAGTCTGACAATTTTCAGGAGTCTCACACTACAGGCTGGCTACCTCCTGCACCACTAAAGCATTTTCCCTCCTCTCCCTAAAAAAAAAGAAGAAAAAAACTATTGAGGGCTACTATTATAATTAGTAAATGAAATAAATAATTAAACATTTTTTTAAGTTATTAATTTTTTAAATAACAAACATGTTTCGGCTCTTAGGCCATGATCACAGTTTTGAATAAATAGTAATGTTGATCACATGTAAATCGATTTGTCTGCTAAATTTAATGTTAACTTTTTCATAGCACAAGAACCAATTTATATTTCCAAAATAAAGTAGAGGCCTAGTAAAAACACAATTTCTCACAACACTTCTAAGTGTTCCACAGATTTGTTCAATTACAAGACTTTCCACAGGTTGGCATAACAAAATAAATTGATGATAATAATTAGTTTGCATTTTAAACCCATTGAGAAGGGGACGAGTCCCTACGAGGTTGTCGTTTATTTAAGGACTTATCACTAACATTCATAGGCCTTTTGAATCACAATTCCCCTTAATAAACACAAAAGATAGATCCTGTATACAAAAAATAGTTTACACAATAACGAAGTCTTATATTTTAAGGTGTTAAAAATGCAAATTTTTCTCCTTTAATAACTCTGTCACCATTAACTATGAAGAGGACCATTCTTATTTGCAGTTTGTCGAAGATTGTTTGTATTGATGATAGGAAAGTCACAAATAAACCCAAAACACGTTAATGTAAAGTCAAGTACTTTCAGTGGAATTAATTATTGTCGTAGGCTAGAGTCCATAAAAATTCTTATTTTAATACCTTTTGTAATGTTAATTTATGCCTTTCAAATCCATACTAATACAGCATAGAAATTATTGTCAAAATTAAAGATACGAGCAACCATTTTGTTACGAGAACGGATGTTTATTTATTGCCTTGTTACATCCTGTAGAGTTAAGCGTATTTAGCCGAGCGAGGGAGCGGAAATGCCGAGATTACTAGTAGTAAGCGGCGGATAATCCGATTATCAGTTGATGTGAGTTTGGTTAAGAGCTACTGTATATTGAACAGTTTGGAGTCAAAAGTTACCTTTAACTTTGGATGTTGAGGTTGGGTCGAATTTTTGACTGATTGCACCATACTACTGTATACTATAATTAGGCATACAATTTAAGATTCCTCCAGGACAATTGAACATAGGAGCAACATTGTAATGGTTGTACATTTAATTTTTAAATTTATTTTTGTCTTCAAAATCTTAAACTACTTAAATATATTTTCAGAAAAAAAGAAGAAGCCAGACAGCGATGATGATATGGAAATGGGAATGCTCCCTCCGACGTGGGATCCTGTGCAGAAACCCAAAGAAAACAAGTAAGTTTTTCTTAATATTATGCCCGAATAGTTTTTAGCCTTCATTCTTTACTTTCAATTTGATTTCTTTTGAAAAATCAAACAAGTTTTAGTTCTCGTGAGTTGTGATCAAGTTTTCTTTATTATTGCATTATAACTGCTTTTTATTTGTGGTTTAGTACGTTTTTTTCAGTTATGTAAGCATCACTCCATAATTTAATATCTTTTTAGGCCTATTAATTTTCTTTAATGTCTTCAATGTCTTCGCTTTTATCTAAAATCAGTTATATTTTCATATTTTCTAAAATAACTTATATTTGTTTGCTATTAATAAAGTAAGGTGAGTAGCCTATCTTTCTTATTCTGTACCCTTATTTCTGTAGATGTTAGTCTTACACTAATAAACCAAATTGTACAACGTTTACAAATAAAATTTCAAAAAATAAATCTTTGTGTACAAATTGATGGAAAATATGTAATTGTTGATAGGAGAACTGTTATTATTCTGCAGACAAGAAGATGGTAGGGTTAATCATCGTTATGCTAGACAGAATTGTGAAAAGTGGATTAAGATGGAGTTTACTTATAAAATAACCGCTGGGTTGGTCTGTTGAGGTAATCCTGGCCGTTTGATGGCCAAGAGTTAGGTTAAGTGCAAAGGTGGTGAGGGTTGATGTTTTCCTCCCGTTTCCCCCTCCTGTAGGATCCGGCAGATGGACGTCTGCTCCATACGTTGTCTGCCAGCCATGGGACTGATCCCTACGCTTCAGTGCATCGTCTGCTTGTGTCTGTATCATCCAGAGTGTGTAGGTCTAGGAGAGACAGGCCAGACAACCATTCACAACTACAAGTGTAAAGTAAGTACAACTACCCTTGCTAGGATAATGATGCATGCTTTGAGTGCTAAGGACTTTTCTTAAAATTGGCCAGCTTCGTTGTAATTATGGTCAAAAATGTTAGGTTGTGTTTTCGTCTGTTCTGGGAAGGGAGGGACAGTTGGGAAAAATATATTTTACCTGTTATTAATCTAAATGATTAGCCTATTGTTTATTTATAAGATTTGATGTACAATCAGGTACAGTACTTAAAATACCACCGCCACACCAAACCTTAATACAGTTAATACCAACCGAATTTCCATTTGCCTGGTTGGATTGTCACTTAAAGTCTTTAAATAGTCTTAACTAACCTTCAAATAGTCAGATCTATTCCCTATTTAAATAACATTAGTTATAATGGCCACTTAGGTTTACTACTACAGGGAAGGTAACAAAAGTCTGTTTTTTGTATTGAAATGTAAATAGCTCAACATGAAATAAATTAAATTTTGCAAATTTAATCTAAATATAAAATTTAAACATGCAAACTAAAACATTTGATCTATTCCCCATAAGAATAAAATGGGAGTCGTACATTTAAAATCTTCTTGGTAGTCATTACACATGCAACTACACTTCAATACTAAATGATTTATTCTTTAACCCTACCAAATTAAAGACATTTCAAAATGTTATGTTTTGTGAGTAAAAAGTGGGAAACTTTGATACACAATTGGAGATACAATGAAAGTAATAGTTAAATTTTAAAACTTTACTTGTAAAACAGTGCTTAGTAAAACATATACACATAAAGTGTCTAGTTGCAAGCATGTCCCTTTGAAAGTTTGGTACACAAAAGGAAGTTGTGTTATTTTATTTTAGGTGTTAAGTTCTGTTTCGTTCATTGATATCAAGTTCCCTTTATTTTAGAATTAGCTACTTATTTCAACACGAATCATCACTATTTAGTTTATCTTAATTAAAATCATATGTTTTTTGCACCTTAATCGAATCCTCACACACAGCAAACGTCAACAAAAACTAATTACTAACTTCTTTCCCTTTTTTTCAGAATTGCCAATTGGAGAAGCCCAAACCAGCTGCTGGAAACAATCAGAAAAGCGCTCAATTGCTTCCCCCCCCTCCGCCCCTTACACCGGCGCTGAGTTCCATTAATACTTCTACAGTACCCATGTCTCACATGATGGTTCCCGCAAAGAACTCTCTTCAACGAATCATGGATAATAAACTCAATAGAAATGTGGAAGGTCCGAGGAACAGGACACCGGTTACAAAATCTACTTCGATTGTCGGTGGAGTCACCACGTGGTTACCTCCTTCCTCGACTATTCAGCTCCGTTCACCCACCCTAGCCACTAAGTCTTCTCCCTCACAGAAAGCTCTCCTCCCCTCCACCACCTCTCACGACCCCCCATCGGGTCAGCCGGTTCAGTCTGTGTTAACCACCGGGACACATCGCTTTATCGTAGTTCCTAAACACAACGTGTTGTCTGTCTCTCCCGCTACCACTTCGTCAACTCAGGTTTCAGACAGTGTCAGCACACAAGTCACCACAACCACCTCAGATGCAGGCTCCGGCGTAGCCACTCAAGCCTACGGACCCGGAGGTCCTATTCTACCCAAACCCCAAGTCTCTACCCCGGCTTTCATCCTCGGATCTCCTACTACCACCACTAGTGGTTTCCAAAGTCCTCCCGGGGTTCTGCTAGTCCCTTACATCGCCCCCCAGACCTCCCCCACACAGAAGGAAGGCCAACAACCCCAGTATATCGTTGTAAATGGCCCCTCGGGGCTGCAGCCCGGCAATTTCATTATCGGCAACATTCCACAACAGCAGCAGCTCAAGCTGGCGTCAGTCCCAACCTCTCAACCTGCCGACCTGCCTACACTGTAAGTTGACCTCCTTCCTGTACTCGACTGTGTTTGTCCCGTTCCTTCCTCACTCATCATCCTTGTACAGTATCTAGTTACTCGTATAAAAACTTATGAGGGATTCTATTTTCTTGTTTGTGAATTAATTGAATCCGTTTGAAATGCAATGGTTGTATGTTATTAGGCAATAATCTTTAGGTTTGGTTTAACTTACTCAAGTGACAAGCTATAATGTTTGAGTTTTAAACTTACCTCATGAAATTATACGTAATAATTAATGGATGTACAAATATTTAATGATTCAATCATTTCTGATTGAGTATGTTACAATAGGCTCAGCTATCTGGTTTGATCTCTAGATTGTCCATTGTACTTGTATGTTTTATTTTCCAGATTTAGCCGTGAAAATCCTTGTCCTCGCCTTGTAATGCTTTTCAGCGGTCCTATCCTCACCTCACTGTGTTTGTTTAATGCCTCAATCACCTTTGCATTTGATTAGTGTACACAAATCTATCTGTATATCACCAGTGTTAGTAGAGGGTTTACTTGGTGTTCTTAGGGTTTGCTGTCACAATTGGTCTTTTGGCAAAGACCAATCATGATTTTTAATTCTTTAATTCTTTGAGTCTTAAACAAATTTGTTTTGGAATTTTTGATGTAGTAAAGACCGCAGGTAAATTTTATTATTTTGCCAAAAAATTTACTTTTTTTTCATTAAATAATGTGGATGGTAAAATTATAAATTGATAGGTAATCAAATTTGAATTACAAACAAAAATAAATTTATGTCCACAGTGTAACTGGCATAATATTACAATGATAAAATCAAGGATTTATTTAACGAGAGACTTTAAATGTCTGTACAGTTTACTTTAACATCTTTTCAAACAATCTTGTACTTTTCTTTCCTAAGGGCTTGATGGATACCTGTGCTGTATATAGCTTATCTTACTTTCTCACTTTGATCTTCAAAAAATTTGTGTGTGTTCTAATAGTTTAATGGTTGAACTTAATACAATTAGTAGAGTCTAAATCATAGAGTATTGGGCACTTCTATGACCCAACTATTGTTATAATTGAAGGCTAACTTTTTCATACAAAGTAATAATAACCGTAGGTTTGGATAAGGTCATTCATCCAGCATAGCATCATTAACTGATATCCCAATAATGAATTACATTTGTGTCCATCATTCCACGACTGGATCTCACAAGGATCTTGCACGGAATCAAACCACTGACCTACGGATTTGTAGGCAAGCAGTATAACCACTCGGCTTCTAGGACGATTATATTTGGGAGCAAAGCATGTTATATGTATGACTAAATTAGTAAACTGTACTCAAACTCTGGAACTAATGTAATAATATTTTATTTGTAGAACTCCAGTCAAGAGAGCTCTGGAGGAGGCGGAGGGTCCTCCCCCTGCCAAGCAGGCACGTCTGTCGTCTGCACCTGCACCTGCACCTGCGCCTAACATGGAGCTGCTCATGTCCCAAGCCTGTGGCATGTACGACTGTCTACTGCAAGTGTTCCAGTACCTCAAGGTGCAGGAGGTGCTGCGTGCCAGCCGAGTGTGCAGAATGTGGCGTGACCTCGCCCTGCACAAGAGTTTGGTGAGTTTCCAATGGTGTAGAAAAACAAAAACATTGTCATCCGCAATCCTCTTGCACAGTCGCAGAGACATCTTTATCGCCTATCCCCCATCGCAGAACAATCATGGACTCCCATCATATCGTCTCCTGCGGTCCTTGGGACATCATAATTAAGCTGCAAAATCAGGGAAAATCCAATCTCACAATTTTTTCAGATTCTTTCTGTGATCACGAGATTAAAAAGCCTGGTTCAAATTGATTATCTTGGAAAATAAAAGTTGGATAAGTCTGCAGGTTTGCTGCAGGGGGGTATTTAATTTCAATTTCAAACCATCTTTATTCAAATAAAATAAATAGTAAATTCTTACCTTAGCAATCCTTATTATGGTTGTCCGATATTAATTTCGAACCCGTAGGTTCATCTTCAGTCGGAAGTTTAGGTAGACCAAATGTTTATTCTAAAATCCACCCGATGGGTTTCGTAGAAATGTTGACATTTAACACCAACACGACACACATTACAATTGACATAAATAATATTCTGAGTTTAGGGATAAAATCCATGGTTTTGTAAAACAGTGGGATAACCTCACTTCAGTCAAGGAACACGCTGCCGGCAGAACTGTCAAAATTTAGTCAGGATTGTGGGTTGAGGTTATATTGACATTTTTTGATTACGGAGTGAAAAAAACATATGGTGGATGTATTTGGATTGATGCGGCTAGGTGTCTGGTTGTAATGATGCAAGTAAATGTGTTTCGGGGAGGTCTAGGTCTTTTATTTTATTTATGAGATCCATGGTATTTTTGAGTGATCTGTTGTTGGGGAGTTCTATTTCATTTCTGATTATTCTATCTAAGATCTTGGCTAATTTATGGGCTGGGCTATTGATAGAATTGACTAAAGGTCTGATGGGTTGGCCTTCCTTGTGTAATTTTGGAAGCCCTCTAAGTTTGGGTGGGGTAGGCTTTATGGTGCGGCATTGAAACTTCTGAGTTGCGGATAGGGTAGATGACTTGTTTATAGCGTTTTTTATTGCTGTATGAAACTTTTGTGTAGGGTCTTTTTTCATTTTAGTAATGCCGTTGTCTGTTATAAATTTCAAGATTTTCTTACGATGTTCCTGGTTGTCTACTATAACCATAGTGTTGCCTTTGTCGGCTTTAACCGCGGAGGTGTTTGTGTTTTTTAGTTTTTCCGCAAGTTTCAAAGCTACGGTTTTCAGTTGGTTATTTGTTCTTTTTTGTGGTTTCATATTATGTTTGGTGATTTTTTTGTGTGCTAGTATTCTGGTTTCATTTTGGTCACGTATGGGGAGTGACTGGATAGTGGCTTCGGTTTCTAGCAAAAGGTTTGTGTTGTTGTAGTCAGGTATGCAAAATTTAGGCCCTTTTTCAAGTAAGTCGATTTCAACAGGTTCCAAGTGAACATTTGTAGTATTGATGAGTTTTGGATAGAACTCATGGTCGGTGTATTTAGTAGTGGTTTGCATAAAATGTTTATCTTTCTCCTGTAGTAGATTGGCAATTTTATTTTAATGAACTTTATGTTTGGATGTTATTTCGTTGTCTGCCCAAAGGTTCAAAGTAGGGATGGTCAAGTCTCGAAATTTCGGGAAATTTTCGGGAAATTTTAAATCTCGTTACACGAGACGAGATTTTTTTTTGGCCGAGATTTTTATCGAGACAAGAATTAAAAAAAAAAAAAAAAAAAAAAAATTAAAAACGCCTGCAGAAAGTCAATGCAATACCCGCAATACAGGAGCGTGTTGTAGTTGCGTTTCCTTTGTGAAGGCGTTCTTATTTAATTAATTCTTCAAATGTAAATATTACTTTAATTATTTTAATAACATTTCAGAAGTTTTGTTAAGTGTTAGCAGTGTGAGGAGTGTTTTATTACTATAAAAAAGTCAAAACAAGTAACTATTTTATAAAAATTAATATTTTATTTTATGATTTATTTTATTTTAGGATAAGGTCTAGTCTTCAGTTCTGTCCTAACTGATATCACTATGTTTCCTCATCGTAGGCATTTTTAATAATTTAGGCGTGATTAATAAAAAAAATGTTATGCTGATGTTTTTTAATAAAAGATTGTAAATATTCTTGCCTATTATCATTATTTTTCTATTTAAACAGTCATCTAACAATGTTACAAAATCAGGTAAAAATTCCGAACGTGCATTTCCCGTTGTGTATGAGAAGGGAAATCCCGTCTCGATCTCGTCTCGAAATTTTATGAGAAATAAAAAATCTCGTCTCGTCTCGTCTCGAACTCAAAATCCAATCTCGTCCATCCCTAGTTCAAAGTATTGAAAATACATTCAGTCTCTATAAATGTAAGGTTGGCAGATATTTCAAGGTGGTAGTAAAATTGAATATTAAATATTGTGTCATCTTTATTCATTGAGTGTAGTTTACTGTTACATTTAACACTGTCGAAATGTATATTAAACTATGTTCTAACCTATTTCTATCAATTTGTATATAATTAAATTGAAAAATATTCATCTTTTTAAACATTTCTAAACAATGGGCGGGTATTGCAATATTGTTGCAATTTATAGTATTATTCCCATGAGTGGTTCCCAATGGTTTTAAAGTATGTTCTATTTCCTTCCTTTAATTGGATGATGTTTTAACATTAGGGGTCTGCGGTACAGAAAGTTAAGGTCGGTACGGTACATGCGGCTACTGGTATTTTTGTGGTTTTCTTCTCAGAATTGTATTTAAACCATTTTTTAAAATTGTAATACATTGAAATTACTATGAGAATGGATAGTATCCTACATTCATGGTTTTCTAACAACAATTTATGTACCACACGTTGTTAAAACCTTTTACTCCTAAAAGGATTGTGTCAAGAAAAAAATACAATTAAGATAAAGGCTTTATCTATTTTACTCTGAAATACTCTAAATGGCCATGGTAGAGTGGTTTTAAAATTAGGATAAGAATTTATAGGAATAAACAAACAAGTTTGAAGCATTAATTTGACAAGATAAATTACACACAACTGGTAAATTATTTCCAACCAACACATGTCTAGTTGTTTTTTAAACTTTTAAAAACATATCAAAGCATTCAGTATGAAGACTGTAGTTTGCCAGCTGTTCACATTCAACAGACGACAATAAAAAGCTGGAGGTTATGATGAAGTAATGGCAAAGAGCATCTTTTTTATGAGCTTCAAAACTAATTACAAGATGGATTAAACTCTTGGAAAGCCTGGGTGTAGGCACTTGAACGACGCTGTAATCCTCTTAATCACGGTCGGTTGACCTGTCAGTTCTAGGTTTGTGTTGAACGCTTCCGCTTCGTTCATACCGTGCATAGCCGAACTGTTCGCGGCAAATTGTTAGCTCTATCACCGTCGCTGTCAAAACGTATCGTTTGTAGGTTAAATTTTAATTAAATTTAATTTAACTATCATAACCTAACCGAACTAACCAAACTTGCTGATAATGAAGAATCGAATGAAGGTTTTCTAATAAAAAACAATAGTTCATGAAATAAAATTACAAATGCCTAAAATTCCATTTTTAATTTTTTAATTATAAAATTAAACTATCATAACCTAACAAAACCAACCAAACTTGCTGATAATGAAAAAATCTAATAAAGGTTTCCTAATCGAAAATAGTTCTGATCATAAAATTATAAATTCTAACAAAAGATGTACAGTTGAGAAGTAATCGCATTCTAAGCGAAATCTTTGACAAAAAGTTAACGCCTCCGGTGGGATTCAGAATTCTCGATTCCCCACCCCTCCTCCAGTGACCACTACCCTCAGGCCATAAATCAGGGGATTAACCCAAACAAAGATCTGGTCCATTGTCCGTCTCCCTGGAAAGCCTATTCTGAAACTAAAATTTGGATTAGCAAAGATTAAGATTATTGTCTTTTCATTTGCAAAGTTAACATCCACACATATCAATCATTGGTTTATCTCAGGCTCAATCCAATTTTCGTAGTATATTTTAAAGCTCTTCCAAAAAATCAAAAGACCTAGGCCTAGACCTAATGTAGGAGGGTGTACATAATTTTTTTGCACAATGGAAAAAAATAATTATGCAAACAACAACGCTTGTGGTGTTTGTGGTTTCAAAATATCCATAGCAAATATTTTAACTTATAAAATAAGATTGTAGATTAGTTACAAGTTTAATATGAAGCCATAAACAGTTTTATGGCAGTAGGCAATAGCCAGCGGCAAAGTGAATATTCACGAAAATACTGACTAAGTGAGAGATAATACTATTATTTTTATGGTAAAATAGAATTGGGGAAAGCCGGAAAGGAATAAAAGTGATAAAACTCAACAGTTCTTGGAAGTACTTGATTATTGTCCTGATAAAATATGAATGGATTTGGGAATGTTAATGGGTTTTTTATTGCATCATCATTCTAGTAATAAGTTATGAAGAGCGTTAACAAACCTCTGATAAGTCTTTTATGTGCTCGGAACCAACTACCATTGACTACGATGATTGAAAGTAATTTATCATTATAATAGCTTATTCCCTATATGGGAAATTCGCTAAAAGGAACCAAAACCGAACCAAATTGTACCGCGTAAAATGCTGTACCAAACAACGGTAACTAAGCCAGAACAGTACCGTACCAACTTTTTCGGTGCACCGTAGACCCCTATTTAATATATATATATATATATATATATATATATATATATATATATATATACATCCCATCAAACTATTGTCATTTTTAAGTTGAATAAAGTATTGGTGTTTTTAGTTGAAGTTTTAATATATTCGTCTCGTATTTTATTTATACTTCAAGATTATATGCTGGGTGACAATTAAATCTGGAACCTCTTTTTTTTATTTTTAAACCACAGTAGAAAAATATACCAATGTTCACACGTGTTACTGGTGATAGTAACGCACACATCTGCCCAATTACCGGCCGGATAACCCCTTTGGGAGACGGTCAACAAGGAGTCAGACAAAATTCTTAAATAGCAGCATAGGTTGAGTTTAGTATCTAATGAAAGGTCTCCGTTAGTAAAAAATACCATGCCACAACTCAAACGGACAACCAAGTCAAAAGTTGCAGCCGTTCAAATATTTCTTTAATCTGCAATTTTTTATCTTTGAAGGACTGCCATTTTTTACCCAGCTGATATTTTGAGCTCAAATTTGCCGCATTGTATTCTACCAATAAAGACGTTTAATGTGATGTGCATATCGACCTTGGCTTACTTTTATGATTTTCATCTGACTTCTAGCGGGTACCTCACAGTATAATAAGCATTGCAAATTCAATGAATATTTGAACAGCTGTCATTTTTTACTCCATTGTCTGTTTGAGTTCAGGTTTGTGACATTCTATTTTACTAACGGAGATCATTAATTTGATACCAAACTCAAACTAAGCTGCTATTTAAGAATTTTGTCTAACTCCTTGTGGACTGTCGCCCAAAGGGGTTATCCGGTCGGTAATTGGGCAGATGTGTGTATTACTTTCACCAGTAGGCCCTAACCACGGGTGAACTTTGGTATTTTTTTCTATTGCGTTTTAAAAATAAAAAAGCGGTTCCAGGCTTAATTGTCACTCTGTATGCTATTTAGGCTTTCTCAACCAAATAGAAAATGTCATTAGATATTATTTAATGTACTGATAACAAATATTGTAGTTTTAAGATTTTGGTTTCACAGAAATACTGTAATCTGCTTAGGGCAACAAACTGAAGATATTTTAGAATATATTTCAACACGGGTTTAAAAAAGTAACACGGGACCAAAAATGTTAGTCTTTTGTCAGGCATAACAATTTAATATCGTTTGTTTTACTGATTTCTTGGGTTTGCCAATTTTTTAAAATTATCAAATGGAAATTTTTTAGTTTGTGAGGTTTAAAGTTAATGGAGATGTTTTTAGATTATTCTGAGTAAAGTCAAGTTAAAGTATTTATGGTGAATGTATATGTGTATGTTACTAACCACACTGTGTATGTAATGGTTATAGTGGGAGGTGGTAAGGATGAAGAACTCTCAGGTGAAGGACTGGGAAGGGTTTGCAGCAACGTTACGTCGCACCGGGACTCGTCACCTAGACCTGCGCAAGATGCTGATGCCAGACAAGCAGGAAGCACTGAGAGCTGTGTGGGCAGACTGCATCAAGGCTCTCAGCAAGGTGAACTATATACTGTATTATAATCACAATCACTCACTACCATTTACTGCATTTCCTGCATTGTAGCCATGTCTTGAAAATGGGACTTTTAGACTTTGACTGAGAAACGGGAATCGGAATTTACTACTTTCCATTTCCACGTAAAAACTTATTATTGGTTGGATAATTGTTTACGACAGTGTTATTGCAAGATGTAAGCGTCATTTAAATAGTCTTTTCTAAACATATTACGTCAAAAAGGTAATACGGTGGACTGGATCGGATAAACCGGAAAAAGTCAAGCGGGATTTTAGATACAATGGGATAAAACGTGATTCTCTTGACCGGTTGACCGAATGAGTGGGATTTTTATTTGGTCATGTGGACTGTGGAGTGTGAGTGGGTTGTAACCGTTTGGTAATACAACTGTGACATACCGAAATACCGCGATAGTGGTTGCCTGACTGTTGCTGTTTACATACAAATAAAACTGTAACTTATTTGATGCCCGTAGTTTCTTCTTCAGCTTCAGATGAAAACAATATTATAAATTACGTTTTGGATTGGAACTGGAACTTAAGTTTGAGTTTTGGAAAATGTCAAAATTTAACATTAACAATTGACATAACCAAACTAAGAAACCGGGACTGAGAATTATCCTAATTGAAAGATAGTTTAGTTTTAAATCAAATTGGATAGGCCTACTTGTGATTTTATTGTGTTTATTTGGTGTTTCTGATGGAACGTAGCCTAAATTGTAATTATTTTCTTAACCGTGCACAAAAAGATTCGATTAAAAAAAAAAATCAAAAAGATTCGAGGTTTGATTTTTTAAGATTTGAAATCGAGATTTGAAATTTCTGGATTCGACCATCACTAGTTGTGTGTGTTCATAAGTGTCTTTGTCCTGAAGTAATGACAGTTAGAATTAATATACTTGTCAAACCTTCCTCTGATAATTAATTGTCTTTACTCTTTGTGGACTTGGTGGAAATCAGCAGTAATAAAACAATTCAACCATCCATCAACAATCATTATTTACCTGATTTTTTTGCAGTCAGAAGTAATTTAACAGTCCAACCTTCCATCCTCTCAATATAATTTATATTTTTGGTAATCAATCACCAGAAATACATAAGTGCTTTTCTATGGACAATTATTTGGCCTTAAAAACAGCAGTAGCAGTAGCATATGAGTCCAATCTTCCATCGGCGATTGTCTTTGTCAATTGAAAATTGGCTGCTTGGGATATTTTAGATTCAAATAAACTTGTCATATGTTAAAAACTGTTGTTGGTTTTATGTACTACAGTAATTGCTAACTTGAACTAAAGATTCTATGAACAGATTACCACTCAACCAGTTGTAGATTTTGTCAACCGTAAAAAAACCTTGATTGAGTGATAAATTTTTTGGTTGAACCTTCAAACTTGGGATGGGCAGATTTCAATAATTAATTAATTATTGACTTTTAAAAACTTTTTATTTTTGGTGGTAACAAACAATTTATGCATTACTTTATATTCAATACCAATCCTAGAATTTCCCGCCACCACGACATAATCATGATTATCTACCAAGATTGCAGTAAAATTGTTATAATTATCAGCAATCACAGTCAAATCAAATCATTTTCTATTCATCATACACAAAGAAATGTATTTAATAGAGTCAAATAACTTTAGGCTTAAAATACATCTATACAAATATACAAAATGCTTATATACATTTAGTTTCCAGGCTAAAATAAATTTAAAACTAAATACCCCCGCCGCAGCAAACCTGCAGACTAAGCGAATTTCCATTAGCCTGATTGGATTTACACTAAAATGCCTCCTTAAAAATATCACATTTATTCCCTATCTATATATATAATTCTGTAAGACCAAATTTTTACCAGAAAATTGTAGAAAAATTGCAGAATTCCCATAAAGTTACCAGAAAACGAGATATAACGTAAAATATCCACCATAAGAAATGCATGGGGACTAAAAAACGTCTGCATTCTATCAGCTGTTACTTATTTATTTGCAATGTTTACATTTAATCTGAAAGTCAATGTTGGTAAATAATGTTTCAAAATGAATTGTGTTTAATTTTTTTTGTTTTTCTGTTTTTATAATGAGTGAAGTAACTAGACAGGGTAGGGGAAGACCTGCAAGACGTGGAAGAGTGTCCAGGAATTCAACAGACCTAAGAATTGCAAAAGAGAACGTCATGTAGGGCCTAACTGTGAAAGAAATCCAGAAACTGTTTTACAACCTATCTTTAGAAGAACGCTGCTCAAAATTGAAACTATAACAGAATTCGTAAGATTACCAAACAAATCGTCAATTTTAAACTAGAAAAGATGTGCAATGTTTGGCTGTATGATTTCAGCTCTGATTCGTCGTTCTCCGGGCTCAGGCCAAACCGTCTGCACGTTTCCATTTGTTAATATGTTGTGTTATTGATTTAATCATTATTTTACAATTGTATTTCATTGACACATCAGAAGTAACTAATATACGACTCCAAAACGGAAGGAAAACCAAGATATAAAACAAGAAACACTGTTAATTTTAAGTAGCATAAAATTGATAATTAATTTTAAAAACATAATTAGAATATGTGTCTTTTTATATATGGTTTTATTTATTGTAGTCCAAATTAGGGGCTATGGCCCCTACAGGCCACTAGTTTAAATATAATTAGTTTAACAAGTACTTAGGTTTGCTGCAAGAGGGAGGGTAAAAAAATGTTGGTTTTTTTATGTCAATAGTTTAGTAAGAAATGAATGTTTATTCAAAATTCCATCAAAATATGTTCATAAACAAGCAAACTACGATAGTTGACTTATTCTCAATAAGAATAACATAAGAATTTTAAATTTATAATTTTTTTGGAATTTTCTCTGTAACCATTAGGTGCACAATAACGCTTCAATATACAAAATTATTTGTTTTTCTAAATTCTACAAAATAGTTTGGGAAAAATTGCAGATTTTTTTGTTTTTAAGATCAAAAATAGGAAAAACCCATTTTTATCCCATAAAACCCCCGTTCCCATAGTCCGATCATGCTGATTAGTAATCAATTATTATTAATTAATTATTAATTATTAATCGTTATTTTTCAGGTCAACACCCTGGTTAAGCTAGACATGTGCCGCTGTACTGGTGGTTGGCTGGAACAAATCATAGCTGTGTGTCCTCAAATAGAGTACATTTCTGCCGGAGCAATCAAGTAAGTATTCCAATAATTTTAGCCTAAATATTACAAGTAGATTTAATCATCCTACCAAAAAAAATGCATAAACGTGTGTTTTTGTTTTTCATGTCTGGGTAAACACTTGAGTGTGTTAATGTTAGTGAAATGTGCCTGCCATTTTTGAAATCAACTTTCCAATGTGTAGGCCTACTTTCTTATTAGTATAAACACATGAGCAAAAGATTACAAACCAACTTAAGTTGGCAAATCAACAAGAAATCTATATTCTATATATATACTTATTTAATACGCAAGCAGTTTTTTTTTGTGACAATTACTCCTCTGAAACTACTGAACCGATCAACATGCTTTTGGTGTGGTTGGAAAGAGCGTAACGCGAAGTTGTGCAGGAAACTTTCTTTTTAGGAAAATAATTAGAGAGTGAGGCCCTGGGGCCCTTTAAAGTTTCACATTTCTCTATAAGATTAACATAGGAAACAAAAATTATTATAAAACTCAAGCTGTTGTCAGAAATTAAAAGAGAGAAGAAGAACATATGTTAATTGTAAACAGTCAATAAGTTTGCTAATAATAGTTTGCTACAAACATTTACTAGAAATGAAATAATTTACTATTTGAATTTGGGTTGGCGTAAATATTACAATGGAAAAAAGCTAAAGAGCTTGGATAAATTGATATACTAAAAAGAAAACTCAATTAACACTGTGCTGCATTTCTTAGTAATCATTAAAAGAACCGATTTGCAAACTATGGTAACATAGGAAAGTCGTAGAACACCACCAAGGAGAAGAAATAGAAATCATGTTTTTTTTAGAATTTATAATCGTTATTATGGACAACCTAATGCGGCTATGAGTTAGACTATTTTTGTAGAAAACACTAAAAAACAAGATCAGCTTTTGAAAAATGATAAGATATTTACAAGAAATGTTGATTAAATTGATCTGTTAGGTACATCTTGAGTATTTCCATAATCTTTGAGTCGAATCTTTTAAAGTCATCAGAAATTATGACTGTTATTCGTTTTAAAATAACGCCTGTAATACTTAGCAATTGCTCGAATTCGAGCAACAGGGACACTAGCAAAAAGTAAATAAATATCAAATGCCCTCTGCGTAATACCCGCTCAGAAACATTCCTTTAAATTGCCTTCAACAGATCCCCAAGGGTGATAAATCTATTAGAAATTATTTTTAATCTTTGATATTTTTTTACATTCTTTTCCCACATTGGAGTGGTATAGATGTATTTATCTTATCTTACTAATATTATAAATCTGAAAGTTTGTGAGTTTGTGTGTATGTTTGTGTGTATGTTTGTTTGTGTGTGTGTTGCTCAATCACGCATAAACTACTGGACGGATTGGGCTGAAATTTGGCATGATGATAGCTCACATTCTTGTTTAACATTGAAGCATATTCTTATCTCAAAAACCATTTCGGGCTCCGCCCCAGTGGCTCTGTAGTTCCCCATGTTAATCTTATGATTATTCATATTTAAAAGTAATTAATGAATCTTAACAGCTGTTTCAATTAACCAAGTTGGTTCTGTTCTATGATGTTCAATAGCACAAAAGTTACAAGGATTACCAACAGGGTGCAGCACTATTATTTTTTTTAATTTATGACAACATCTAATTTCCAACCAAAAGGTGAGTGAGCGTAGCGAACGAACTTCAACCTGGAGGCGAGTTAGCGTAGCGAACGAGCTAACCTGAAGGCAAGTGAGCGCAGCGAACGAGCTCCAACCTAAAGGTGAGTGAGCGTAGCGAACGAACTTCAACCAGGACGTGAATGAGCCATGCGAATACTTATGAAGTTAAACGGGGCGAAGCCCGCGGGTACAGCTAGTTCCTAATGAACTGTATAATATCATGAATTGTTTTGCTATTTAATATTTTAAAACCTTTTGTCAGTGTCAAGTAATAATGTGTTTGGTTACAGGAGCAGTTCATTGAACCTTACCTCATTGAAAAACTGTCAAAACCTAACAGAATTAAGACTGAAGAGTCTGAGTGGCATGGAAGTAAATAACATTGACGTACTTGAAAACCTCACCAAATTAAAAAATGTGGTAAGTTGCTTGGGAGGTCCTATCAAGTTGATATGTTTAAGTTAGTCAATTAATTATTACAAAATAAATTCCTCAATTCCTGCTTCAGACATTGTTTACATTGTTATCTGTTTAAATGATTACCTTATTTAAATATTAATTATATCACAGAAATAATTGTAGAATTAATTGATTGTGAGTAGGCTTAAGGGTGTAATAACGGCATGGCTCACAGGCGCTGGGAGTGTTTAGTTCCAGCGTTGGCCACTACGCGCGCGACGTGTACTAAACCTAAGCCCGTGTGCGAGCCTCTCTTGAAGTAGGAGTGAGAGAGCGCGCGAGATGTATTTCTGTCTCACTCTCACCTCACCCAACGTTGTTTGTTGTTACCACTCCCGCTTCTGTTCTGAGCCTCCGCGGCCCATCTCGTTGGAAAACGCATCACTGTTGGTTGTTGTCCCCCAGTTGACATTGTATACTGTTAATCCATTAACAAATTAATTAAAACCAGTCGTTTTAATGCATGCGTTGCGGGTCTAAAGTAGCAATTTTACTCTTTATTAAGTAAAAAAGTTTTTATCCTCTATGGAGTAAAAATAGTTTTTATTCTCTATGGAGTAAAAATCAGCTGTTGTCAACTCAGTTGTAAATTTCTATTAAAAACGATTGCATGTATCGAATAATGTATCGATTCGTGCTTCGAAATAATTTTAACCTATAGTCTACAGTCTCTTCCCATAGCGTTTTAGCATTGCAGATACATTAATCCATTCCCACACTCAACACGCTCACCTTTACTACTTCCTTCACCACCCCCTACGTCGTGGACCTACTTCCCTCTCTTCCCATAACATTTTAGGATTGCAGATATATTAATGTAATTGCCAAAGACAGTTCCCACACTCTGCAGTGCAAGCCTTCCCACTTCCTTCACCATTTCCTACGTCATAGACTTGTTTCCTTCCCTTCTCATAGCATTTTTAGGATTAAAGATACATCAATCTAACTGCCACAGACGGTTTTCACACTATGCTCATACTTTACTACTTTCTAAGCCTTTTTCTACATCGTGGACCTGTTTTCATCACTCTCCATAGCAATTTAGTATTTTAGATACGTTAATCTAATTGCCACAAACATTCCCCACACTCCGCACTGCTAGCCTTTACTACTTCTTTCACCATTTTCTATGTCGTAGGGATGCTTCCATCCCTACTCATAACATTTCAGCATTGCAGATACATTAATTTAACTGCTACAAACGGTTTCCAGTTCCCACACTCCACACTGCTCACCTTACTAATTCCTTCACAACTTAATACGTCTCGGACCTTTTCTCTCCCTTCCCATAGCATTTTATGATTGCAGATACCTTAATATAATTGCCATAAAGAGTTCCTATAGTCCGGACAGCTTGCCTTGCCTACTTCCTTCATCACTTCGTACGTCGCGGACCCGTTATCGTCATAAACAGTTCCCACACGCCGGACTGCTCGCCTTTACTACTTCCTTCACCACTTCCTACGTGACGGACCTGTTTCCCTCCCTTCCCATAGCATCATAGGATTGCAGATACCTTAATCTAATCGGCATAAACAGTTCCCACACTCCGGACAGCTTGCCTTGACTACCTCCTTCACCACTTCCTACATCGTGGACCTGTTTTCCTCCCTTCCCACAGCATTTTATGATTGCAGATACCTTAATCTAATCGTCATAAACAGTTCCCACACTCCGGACTGCTAGCCTTTACTACTTCCTTCGCCACTTCCTACGCCAGGGACCTGTTTCTCTCCCTTTCCATAGCATTTTATGATTGCAGATACCTTAATAAAATGGTCATAAGCAGTTCCCACACTCCGAACAGCTTGCCTTGACTACTTCCTTCATCACTTCCTACGTCGCGGACCCGTTTTCCTCCCTTCCCATAGCATTTTATGATTGCAAAAACCTCAATCTAATCGTCATAAACAGTTCCAACACTCCGGACTGCTTGCCTTTACTACTTCCTTCGCCACTTCCTACGCCACGGAACTGTTTCCCTCCCGTTCCATAGAATTTTATGATTGCAGATACATTAATCTAATTGTCATAAACAGTTCCTACACTCCGGACAGCTTGCCTTGACTACTTCCTTCATCACTTCCTACGTCGTGGACCCGTTATCCTCCCTTCCCATAGCATTTTATGATTGCAGATATCTTCATCTAATCGTCATAAACAGTTCCCACACTCCGGACTGCTCGCCTTTACTACTTTCTTCACCACTTCCTACGTGACGGACATGTTTCCCTCCCTTCCCATAGCATCATAGGATTGCAAATACCTTAATATAATGGTCATAAGCAGTTCCCACACTCCGGACAGCTTGCCTTGACTACTTCCTTCATCACTTCCTACGTCGCGGACCCATTATAAGCCATGTCGCGGACCCGTTTTGCTCCCTTCCCATAGCATTTTATGATTGCAGATACCTTAATCTAATCGTCATAAACAGTTCCCACACTCCGGACTGCTCGCCTTTACTACTTTCTTCACCACTTCCTACGTGACGGACATGTTTCCCTCCCTTCCCATAGCATCATAGGATTGCAAATACCTTAATATAATGGTCATAAGCAGTTCCCACACTCCGGACAGCTTGCCTTGACTACTTCCTTCATCACTTCCTACGTCGCGGACCCATTATAAGCCATGTCGCGGACCCGTTTTGCTCCCTTCCCATAGCATTTTATGATTGCAGATACCTTAATCTATTCGTCATAAACAGTTCCAACACTCCGGACTGCTCACCTTACTACTTCCTTCGCCACGGACCTGTTTCTCTCCCTTTCATAGCATTTTATGATTGCAGATACCTTAATATAATGGTCATAAGCAGTTCCCACACTCCGGACAGCTTGCCTTGACTACTTCCTTCATCACTTCCTACGTCGCGGACCCGTTTTCCTCCCTTCCCTTATAATTTTTGGAATGCAGATACCTAAATCTAATCGTCATAAACAGTTTCCACACTCCAGACTGTTCACCTTTAGTACTTCCTTTAACACTTCCTACGTCGCGGACCTTAAGCTTGTGTCGTCATTTGATTATTTTATGATCCATACCACCGTTTATGTTCTAATATCTGTGGAATAATGCTATCAGCTATTTATTTATCTACTGCATTCAAAAGTCATCAGCTGATCATATGTCTTTGTTTATGTGTCAAATACTGCTTCCATAAGGATTACATTGAAACTTTGAGACCCAGTGGGGCGGATTCCTGAGAGTTATTTTTAACGCCATATAGATGTTGGCACTCACCGATATGGTCTTTACCACCATCCAAAATTTGAAAACGATTAATTCAGCCGTCTAGGAGGAGTTTGTGTATTACGAAATGCATAAAAGTCGACGTATAAGAGCTTCGCTCAATAAAATATTGTTTTATGGGTTTATTTATCGATGATTATGTTAATCAAATGTTTTCCTCCATTTGTTTTTACTTTATCTTTATGCCTTTGAAGTTGTAATCAATAACATAAATTAGGTTGGGATTTAAAACAAAAATCTCACCTTTAGAAAGTTGTACGGGACAAGCAAACATGGATTGGAAATTAAACATTATCTCAAAATCTATTTAATATTTTTTTTCAAAGGTTTAACAAATTACATTTTCAATTATTTACTAATTTAAGTTATTGCACTAATTGACTAATTTTACCAAAAAAATTTAACCTAAAATTATAGAAAAAGTACCATTTATCTGTAATAGAACTTGACCAAGTTAAATCTTAATTCCAGGAAAAATTATTTTTATTTTTATTACAAGGAATGATTTAGAGGAGTTGTACATAAAAAACAATGTTTGAAGCAGTTTTAATCAACTCTAAAAAATAACAAAGCAGGATCCCTGAGAATCGCCCACTACTTGTTTTTCTTTCTTGTCTTAGCCATATTTGCTTCTTCTTTACGAGTTTGGGCATCTATGATGTACGCTGGATCACGCACACGAAGGTGCCGATTTATTCTGCTATCTACCATTTCTGGTAGAAGGCAATAGTTGTAGAAACGGATAAGTTTTGACAGATTTTTTTTGCTGCGTTTTTGTGCAGTTGATCATTGAGGGCTCTAGTGACATGGTTTGCACATTCCACTTTTTGTACAAACCGTCCATAACTACAACTGTCTTGAATACGAGCAAACACGCTCGAGTCGCCATCGCCTATATAATATCTATATATTAGGCCGTAGTCTACTTCTCTGCGTTTGAAGCCGTTGACGATTATATTTGCTTCCATACCTGTTGATGGACCAGTATAATTGAGGTAACAGACATGCTCTGGTGATTCAATTCCTTTGTTTTTGCTTTTTGTGCACACGTAGCAAAATTTGTTCCGGACTTCGAGGTATAATAATTTCTTTGTCTCTGTTCCTATGATTACGCCCTAAAACAATACATTACAATTGTAATACAACAAAACAAAACATGATAAAATATTACATTATGAAATCAATTTATTAATTATTATAAAATTAAACTACAAATGGTTCAAATTCAATTTTATAATGTTTCAATTATAAAATTAAACTGTCATAACCTAAATATTGGAAAAATCCGAGACAAAAAGGTTGTACAACGGGTGAGTATCGAACCCGGCTCTATCAGCAGCTCGTCAGTCCGGCACTCTAACCATTATATCACCGAGTCCGATGATATTGTCCCGTATCGTTGCGGTAATGTTGCGTGCCGTTTGCACCACCGCCACAGCACTAAACAGTCAGTGGCAGTGGCCAGGGATCCCCTGGGCAGTGGCAACCCCGATCACACACAGGTGCCTTGTGCACATACACATGTACCATGTACCTTGACACGTTTCAGTTTGAAAAAGTTGCATCGCATCCCATCACTGATCGTGTTTTAATCACTGTTTGTTGGTGGGGGTGAGGAAATGTTTAACTAAACCCTATTTGAAGTTAGAATAAATAATAGTTGAAGTGGTTTATAAGAATAAATTAGCGTTCCCACACCTAAACTTTTAAAATTTTTGAGAAAACGATCTAAATTTCTTACCACTCCTCCTGTTGATGTCATGCCATGTCCGTAGCTCCTTTTCGCCCAGCCACCATCTCCAATAACAGTAATGAAGGGGGTTCCATTCAGGATGTCACCTTTTTCTAAAGCAATGCGCTTATCTTCTTCCGCGTTTGCCTTCATTTTTGAGTATAGAGTATCTTCCCAAACCTATATAATAACAGTTATTCCCACAAAAATAACATGTAATGAGCTTTTACATATGTAGTGACCAATTTCTGAAGAGAAAATTAATTATGAACCGTTTGAAATGTATAAGTAACTTATTGATAGTTTTGTGCTTAGAAACTTGACAAGTAAAAGAAATACTAGTTTCTAGAAATTCATAATGAGACTTTCCAGTACCATCGTTAAATTTGTGGCTATTTTTATATTTGCCAGGATTTGAAAGAGGTTCTAAAAAATGTTGTTTCTGACAACCAAACATCACCATTGTTAAACCATGGTTAAAATAAACTTGTGAAGATTATACCAAATTACCTAGATAAATATCAATATTATTTATAATATCATAAAATAGAGTTATTGTCTGTCTGTAGTTCAGGGTAAACGCAATAACTATTGAACCGATTGAGCCGAAATTTTCCAGAAGTGTATAACAGAAACGTGAACAACAGAGTCTATGTACAACTATTTTATTATAAAATATACTTATTTTATTACAAAATTATTTTATAATTGTTTTAAATTGGTAATGGTGAGTTTATGTCTTAATTTTTATTTTGTGGACAACCAAATATGGTTTATGGAAATTAAATACTGAAAGGTGAAAGTGTTAAACAATATAAAATTACATAATTGAGCAAACGAATGGAAAGGATTTCACTTTGCTTACTCGCTTATCCTGAAACGGTATTGTAGAATATATATTTTGTAATAATATGCATACGTACCTTGCCTATTTTCTTTTCGTGGGATTTGAATTTTGGTCGCCCCATTACAGGAATATCCATAACTGAGAACAGCTCTTCAACTTGAGCATAGCCTAGACCCACACTCAATGTTCCCCACACAAGTGCATTATTAGGAGCTTCTTTACTTTCTTCTGGTTCGGATGTGACAACAAATCGTTTTTCACAGTTGCCACAATAATACTCCCATTTTGAATATAGCCCACTATAGTTCGGACGCTTAGAAAACGACCTGCGCGCTAATGCTAAACCAATGCTGGAGGAGGTCGTTTTCTAAGCGGCCGACCTATAACTACTTCCCTTTCAAATTTGTATCCCCCCATCGTACATACATTTGGATGAGAAGCTAACTTTTCTAGTTGCATCAACACATGACTTATATCAACAATTCGACGACCGATAATTGAATAGTCTTCCACATCTATATCTATATATATAACACGCTAAGCCGATTTTTGTAAACAGAACTCCTCCCTCATTTTTGGACCGATTTTAATGATTAAAGTGTCAAAAAAATTGCCCTGATCTGTAGTTTTGCAAAGTGGTTTTCGTTTTTTGATATCTTTATTAGTTTGGGCGGGATCTTCCATCAAAGTTGGGTTTTCTCCCATAAGATGAACATGGGAAAATCTAAATGTTTAATTGGAAACTTTGTCTCCACTAATTTGAGAGAACGGTTGGGCGTAGAAACTTGGTAGAGGTGTCCAAAGAAAGGTCTTGGTCTGTAGATGAACTATCAACAGAAAAACGAAGTAAATTCGCGTAGGGCTCTGCCCCAGAAGCCTTTAAAGATCCCTCCACAGATTTGTTTACATTTGGCCATGTTGATAATACTTTTTAATGAAACAGCTGTTGATTTTAAAATTGTATTTTAAACAACACACATTTATAGAGATCGATGATTGGGAGTTACTAATATTGTCCAAAAGAAGTATTTGCAATGTTATTTTCTGATTTTAAAATTGGTTTTCTTCTGTATCATGTCATGTTTTGCAATATAACGTTCCATTACGAAATTAGTAGAAAATCCTTTTATCACAGTAACTCTTACAATTATTTCTTATTGGACTGTCTTATATCTATTTTGCGGGTTGGTGACTGCCTTTTCACCACTTTTGGCTATTGGTCATTTTATTCTAGATCTAGATCATCACAGGTTCATGAGATTATTGTCATACATGTTTTCAATCTTTGGAAAAAACTGCGATTGTGTAATACAATACAAAATATTACAACCCACAACCAATTTCTCAAAACTATGCTAGATGGTTATTCATTGGCACATAAGTACAATATGAACTGACGCGACCTGACGAAGGAAAAATCAAACTTACACTGTAACGGATGAACTTGAAGTTAGAACGTGTCTTCTCAGCAAAAAGATATTTTTTCTCAAATAAGGTCATAGATTAATCTGCATTACACTGATGAAATCGTGGAAGTCTTTAACTACAAAAGATCCACCAATACGATTTTAATACTATTTAAAGGTTCTTCCAAAAGAAGAGATACCAGTTTACATACTAATAATGACTCCGATTAGGAAATATTTTATTGGTATGGGAAATATTTTATTCATTGAATGACTAAACATATTTGGTAACTAAACGCAATTAATATCATTATTGTTTTTTAACTTATTACTCTTTAAATAATGCTAATGCTCAAAAAATGTATAATTTCACTCAATTTATCGCATTTAGATGAATTAGCCTAAGCTTTGAAAGTAACCGGCGATTTTGACGGGTTTCGCCTAGTCATGCAATAATAACCACAGACAAGAGAAACAAAATATAACTACAAAATACAAAACACGTGACCGGTGACAGGTTGGCAGCAGCTAGTTGAGAGCAGGTAGAGCGTGCGGGAACCAGGGTAGGCGCGGCCGGTGCGGGGGATGAGGAGGGGGGGGCGTGCGCCCGCGCGCCGTGAGTGCGCGTATGAGCACTGTACACACTCACATCGCACGCCACGCTGGTTTTACGTGATTTCTGTTTTCTTTCCAGCTTCTAAACGCTTAAGAATTTTCCATTGGAGTATTTTTTTATACATTCTGTACATCATTGGCTTTGTTCTGATATGCGTCTTTTCTCGATTCATATAAAAATAAACCAGTTATCGAATTTACAAAAAAAGGTACTTTTTTATTTATAAACGATATGGGAAATAAAATGTTTTAGCTTGTAAAGATACATTTTTTGGAATTTTTAAGAGTAGTTTGGTGAATATAATCGAAACCGTTTTTGAGCTGGAAAGCAAACGGATTTAGCACTTAAAAGCCCCATAACTCTCTTATTAGGCCACTTAAAAATTTCAGGTGACATTTTTTCTTACCCTTATAATATTCCCTTATATTATACCCTTATAAAATTCTTAACCTTAACAATTATACTTTAAAAAATAATAGTATTTTATTTTCGATCGAACACCCTTAATTTGAATTTCAGTAAACCTGCAGCCATTAAAAATGTTAAGTCTCTTTCTTTAAAGTAAGATAAATAACATGTTAGCTGTATTGTTCCTGTTGCTATTTCGTCGTAGCAATGTAATACCTGTTGCCGTTTCAGCTTTTAAAATATTGAATTATATATTGTTTTAGTCTTTAACATCAGTGAAAAATATGACAAAGGTGCTTGAAGTGGTACCAAAACTCACAAATCTGGAAGTTCTGGAGTTGGGGGAGATGACAAACCTTTCCAATGAGGCTGTGACAGAGGCCTTCTCCAAGCTAACCAAACTTCGAAGGCTCAGGCTGGAAAAGGTAAACATGAGATGAGTTTATCACTTGTTTTAAAATTTTTTTGGACATCTATTAATCTATATAAATAAAATTAGAGTTTTGTCTCTACATTGCTCAGAATTATATATTTTTAGGTTATTTTTACGTTTTATACATTAAAGAAGCAAAAACAAGTCTTATCTCTATTTCTGTCTGTCTTTCTGTCTGTTTGTAACACTCAAGATGGCATTTTACGCAATCTTCTCCATGAAAACAAGAGTACCTATCAAGATCCAAGCCATTTTAATGTATTCACTGGATTGGCGAGATTGTCTTTAGCCATTAAAATATGGCCTCACTACTTTGTAAATAAAATTACGGACGTTCAAAAATGCAGTTTTGTGCGATTTTTGTCAAATTTTCGTTCAATTTTTATCACAAAATCATCTATGAAATAACGAACAACTGTTCGGATCAAGATTATTTTTTCTAGCTGTCACTGATATGTTTACAAATGTTGTTTACAAATACCGCAACCATTTCCGATCACGTTTTGAACGCAAATCCCAACTAAGTGAGATTTAAAACGTTTTTCTTACATAACGGATTTAATTAATCGCTCAAGTTCAATATTATAGTGTAACCGTAAATGAAATTAAATAACAGGAACCAGAAATTCTTTGCGTATAAATTGTTCTTCAGTTTTGATAACCATAAAGAAGACCTTGAATCAGTGTTGTATAGGGCTGAGACACTTAATGATCATTGTAAATAGTTTACAAACAAGGTTTCCACTCATTGACGGCGCTTCAATGGCGATTGTGTAAAGTGTGAAGTAAATAAAACACAACTGCAGTGGGTGATTGTAACAGAGGTTTACGGATGATGCTAAACTCGCTTTTCCAATGTGTCACTTTCTACTCTACTTTGTTTCTACTCACCGTGTGATGCAATCGCTGGACCATACAGCCAATATGGGCCCATATCCCATCTCTTGGGTACGTACGCCTACCTATTTAATCATAACAACCTTTTCGACGACGATCCTTGATACCGGTACTCTTCCGTAGAATACATGGCCTACCTATTTAAGAAATAAAATTACAAATGTCCAAAAACCCAACATTGTGTGATTTTTGTCACATTCAACTGTCTACTATAAGATCCCTGTGCGTAGAACGGGCACACAGCTAGTAATAGATTATAATTCTAGCTTTAAATTCACAAGATGTTTTTTTTATTTTTTAAGTAGGCCATATGGTGTCAAAACATTTAGGCTAATATTCATCATGCTGAACATGTTTCAAACTTGTTTACAGTTCATAATCAGCAGCAGGGTAGATGATTCAAACATTATTCAATGTTTGTCAAACTTAGAATAAAACAATGCCACACAATCTTTGTGTTTACTTTAAACTACCACATTTGTCGTGTAACATAAAATGTTTTATGTGATTTTAAAAATCAGATTAAGACCAAGATTGTGGACTGATGTTGTAGGGAGGTGAGGGTTGTCCTACAGACATCATACTGGAGACCATCAGTCAACTGCCCAGTCTTGTACAACTGGAGCTCATCAACTTTGATGTTAAAGCTGGATTCGATGAAGCGCTGGGCCGCTGTACAAACATCAAAGTATTACTTATCATTCCTACGTATGTCACACAGGTAAATGATTTGTAAATGAATTTTCAACTGAGAAAAAAAAATAATTTTCTCTTATTAGTCATGTAGTTATGATTGGATAAGATTTTTACGTAATCATACACACCAGAGTGAGTATTTTGAGGTGAAGATGAGTGTTGAATGGATGTGATGATAGCTCACTAAGATCAGCTGGTTCTATATCCAGGACCATTTATTTGAAACCTAACTTAATTATTCCTGAAAGTCTGATTGAAATTGGAGACATTTTACTAAACCGTGAAAACCATAAAACCATGAATTTTGTGGTTTAACATCAAAAATGGATTGGATTGGTCGATTGAGATCTTCGATTGTACAACATTTTTGGTATCAAAGAAATTTTGATTCTCAATACTTTGTGACTTTGGATATATTCCGAAGACAACAATAATGTTCACACAACAGCAAGGAATGTTTATAATTTTTCCGCAATCACGGAAGTCACTGTTTCCATTACAGCATTTTCAGGATTTTGCTGTGAATGCGGTATGATGAATCTCGGTCTTGACAGAATCGACGGTATGACTCCACGGTCACGGCACAATCGTCGGTATGACTCCGCGGTCACGGTGCGATCGTCGGTATGACTCCGCGGTCACGGTGCGATCGTTGGTATGACTCCGCGGTCACGGCCTGATCGTCGGTATGACTCGCGGTCACGGCACGATCGTCGGTACGACTTCGCAGTCACGGTGCGATCGTCAGTAGGACTCCGCGGTCACGGCGTGATCATCGGTATGACTCCGAGGTCACGGCGTGATCGTCAGTATGACTCCGAGGTCACGGCGGGATCGTCGGTATGGCTCGCGGTCACCGCACGATCGTCAGTATGACTTCGCGGTCACGGCGTGATCGTCAGTATGACTTCGCGGTCACGGCGTGATCGTCTGTATGACTCTGCGGTGACGGCGCGGTCGTCGGTACGATTTTGGGTCACGGCGTGGTCATCGGTATGACTCCGCGGTCACGGTGCGATCATTAGAACTATCGTGAATGGCGTCATTGTTACTCGCGAAGCGGCAAAATCGCCGACGATCAGATCAAATCCCGTCCCGAAAAATTCCTGAATCAATCGTAATCCTATCCCGAAAATCATGAATATCTTTTTTCCGAAATTTTCCCGAAATTTCGGGACCCGTCAATCTCCCTAGTTTTTACTGTGATCAAACAATTTCGTAAAGTAAAGTGCTTGATTTATTAGCTGGTTCATAACCAGTGTTATCAGTGGGGACAGTAATTTGTTGTATAGGCCTATAACCTCACCTAACAATACCTAAACTATTAAATAACCTGCATGAAATTTAATATAAGATTTATACATGAATACTGTAAGGGATCTACTTTACTTTCATGCTACCAGTATAAACATAATAATAAACAGATCAAAAATTCAGTAAAAGCAAACTTTAGTGTCGCTTGCAACGTTTTTGCACTCACAGCTTTAGGAGAAAGTTTCCCTGGCTTAGGCTAATTTTTGTGTCCTATATATGGTTCCCCAGCGTTCCTACGTCCTTTTTGAACATTTCTCTTCCACTTATCAATATTAATCTTCCGTCTCTTGCTCCTATTCAGTCGATCAACATCACAGGGAGTTAGCGTAACACCGCCTGGAGAAGCCATGGTTTGGCACTTACAATGTTTTTGCAGCGAGGTGCCTGGAAATGGCGGGAGTTTGCCTGACCCAGTGCAGCCAACAATTTTTTTCAAAACTAAAATACCCTGCGTTTCATTTGTAATGACGCTGATTTCAATTTTTTGGCGTTTACAACATTCTTGGCGGGAGTCATTCAACTGATGTTTTTCCCTTTGTACTGTATTTTTTTATTTGCTAGTAAACTGTGGATGGCTTCTTGTAAAATCATGTTACAAGTATTTTGTTTACTTTTTCCTTGTTATTTTGTTCAACAAACATATAGCTACTTGGCAACTCATAAGGCCAATGTAAAATTTTAAAAATTTTCAAATGAGTTGTGTAGCGAATTTTCCTGAGGTAGTGGCTGTCACCAATCACGTTTTTAGGACTATTAAGTCCCCTAATTCCAAAATTTAGTAAAAAGCCTTGCGCTGGATTTTGAGATATATGACAAACAGACTTAGCTCGTATATAGGATAGGATTTGGCAATTGAGTCACACCTAACCTTCCCCCTTACAACTTGACCTACTGTTATGTTTTCTGTTTTCAGTCTGCGACTACCAACCATCTGGTGATAGAGGGTGTGAGCAAACTAAGCAAGTCATTGGTTCACTTTGTCTGGGGACTGACTTTGGAGCTGCTCAGAGTTACAGACCTCTTCATCGACCAATGGGAAATGAACAAGAACACGGGGCCCAAGAGTCCAAATCAAGCACCCAAGAAATCTGCTGGAGACAGCATTCCGATCCTGAAGCCTTCAACAAAAGACGGGAAGAAGGTGAAGGAAGGTGCGGTGACGCAAGTTGATGTTCTTCAACTCCCTAAATTGCACAAAGTCCTGACGACGTTGTTACCCAACACAAGAATAATCATCCTGAAAGTTCCGTTCAGTGCAACGTGGAGACAAACCATCTCCGGCTCCACGCAGTAACACAGAACAAACCAGACACAATGACTGAAAGTTTTGTCGTTTTGTATAAAATTTATTTTTTCATGTGTTATTTTTTAAGTGACTGATTCCAAAGTGAGTCGTAGTGACAAAAAACAATGGTGTTAACTATTATGGTTGCACAGTGAAAACCTCATTAATATACTATGTATATATTGACTCCAGTTGATTTCAATAATCTAGTTTAGATTGTTGGTAAAGTGCTGCAACGATAACAGTCAAATGTCTCTTCGACATTTTTGATTGGTATTTGGCTGTGGTATGATTCGCACTAAGATTCCGTAGTAAGACACACAAGGGTAGTATCTGTTCTCTTTCTATGTCAATTGTCGTAAGGGCAATTATTCAAGATGCAACTTTGACAACAATCAATACTGTGTTGGATAAGAGATACTATTAAATCACCCTTGTATTAAGTTTATAATTCCATTTAGTGTTTTTTTTTTCTCTTATCAATGTTACAAAAATCATTTTAGTAACATAACTTTCCGTTCTAGTGTTATTTTACAGTGTAGTAAGTTTAAAGATTGATGCCTTTCAGTACCAGTAAGATGCAATTAATTTAGTAGTAAGTTTGCAATCGTTACGTTTTCATCCGTTTTAATTTTTTCAACAATGGCTTTGATTGTTAAATATATAGTTTTTCTTAAGTGTTTTTTTTTTTCTCTTATGAACATTAACGTATATAGAAAATATATTTCTAGCTTGATAATAAAAAAAGCTAGTTAATCAGATGAAATTTGGTGGCAGTCAAAAGGTTTGAAATTATAATTTTTTCATAAATAAAAAAATCCATCTCAGCACAAATTGGGAATATAACTATTCATGCATGGTCCGCAGTATATAAAAACATGCCTAATGATATATTTATTCGTTCTTTTTCACTACTGCGAGATGGATGATAACATGAATCATAGTACCATTTTATTTCAAATTAACAGTCTTGCATGAGGGCAACTGCATTATTATTTGAAATTGTATTGGAGAAAAATGTAAGATGAGTTGGGAAACTAAGCTTTATAAAATAAGTTTAGCCTTGTAAAAATATTTAAATTTATAAATTAGGTGTAAGTAAAAGTTTTACAAATCACGATCTACCACTAAAGTTATGTACAAGTCTTATTGGCATTCTATGATGTATTGATATTTAATATGCATCATCAATATGTAGGAGTATAATGAAAAGTTTAAAATTCCTTTTTCTATTTAACTTATTGAGTGTTATAACTTACCTACCGTTAATTATGTATGGCTTTGCTTTATGTGTTTCAATATTTAATTTTTTCTGACAAGTTGTTCCTATTGAGGATATTGGCAGTGGATTATGGTTAAATGATTTTATAGTAAAGACTGTGATCTTGCTATGAAATACAAATACCTTCAAATGTGTCAAAAATCATTATACTTTTAATTAATGTCCCATTGTGTTAGTTTATTAATACTTCGGATTGACTTGTTTCAAGACACTTTTTATGCAAAAATAAACTGACAAATATTTTGCATTAATTCATTACCAAGCGACTTATAAAACTGATTTGTTAGATTTCACTTATTTTGTACAAAAATAATGGTATTTAATTTGTATAATTAATATAGTTCCATTTTGTACTAAGTTATTGTTCCTTTCTTACCCTGATCCACAAGTTTCTATTTACATTGGAATGTAGGAAATTCACTAGAACAAAGTTTCTTAAAAATGTAATGAAACCTTCAAGAGAGGGGTGGGAATATTTTAAAGACCAGACAATGAAAAATCTATATAGGAATACTTAATACAACTAGTCAGTGTTATATCTAAAACATCCCCTTTTCACAGGAGACGCTCATTGAGGCGCTTGCCGAGTAATTAAGGCGAGAGATTGGCACAGATCGCATGCGAGTGAACCATGTTCTGTCTCGCAGTCAAAATGGAGGCGCTTCATGCGCTCGGTACTTGTACAGTCTCAGGTCCTTTGACTCGTGCCAAAAACCCGACTTCAGACAGAATGCAGGTGACTAGGTGAGGCAAGACAACCTGAGTCAGGGCGAGAGAAGCCGAGCACACCGAGTACACTCTAGCACTCACACCCGCTTGCCTTTTCTCGGCAAGAGTTTACTGGGGGCATAAAATATTGTTTGGTGCAAGTCAATAATACTGGTTACTGGTTTGGGAGCTTTTTTCTCCTTTATTTTCTTTCACAGATTCCGACAACAGCTTATGTTTCATCTATCTTTGTACATGGAGGAAATATTGCATCTAACACTCCATAAGGAAATACATATATATATATATATATATATGCTGGCAAGCTTCTATAGTCTGGGGGGTAGTCTGGTTGGATCAAAATTTAATCTTAAGGCCGCAGTCTCCTTCATCAGAGTGAATTAAAAGTACCGAGCTTCATTCTAGTTGCTACCCCCTTTGCGTAAGCAACTTGTAGAAACGTGAACTGGTTTGCCAAACCCTAGACCTACTCACCCCACGATGCAACAGTCACTAGTCTTCCACAAAAAAATCTTCCACTAGCTGCTCAAATTTGTTAAAGTCAACTTTTGGTTGTCAAATTTTAGATATCAAACTAGCTGAACCCGGCAGACGTCTTGCCTTTGACTATTTATAATCCCGCGGGCTTTGCCCCGTTTAACTTCTTAATTTTCAAGATCTCGTTCGCATGGCTCAATCACGTCCTGGTTGAAGTTCGTTCGCTACGCTCACTCACCTTTAGGTTGGAGCTCGTTCGCTGCGCTCACTTGCCTTCAGGTTAGCTTGTTCGCTACGCTCACTTACCTTCAGGTTAGCTCGTTCGTTACGCTAACTCGCCTCCAGGTTGAAGTTCGTTCGCTACGCTCACTCACCTTTTGGTTGCAGATGAGCTGTTGTCATAAATATGTAAAAGAAATAATAGTGCTGCACCCAGTTTGTAATCCTTGTAACTTTAATGCTATTGAACATCATAGAACAGAACCAACTTGTTTAATTGAAACAGCTGTTAAGATTCATTAATTCCATTTCTCATAAGGTTAACATGGGAAACTCCAGAGCCACTGGGGCGGAGCCGATTGGACGGATCACGAAATTGATGGTGTATAAACCTATTCCATGACATTCTACACGTATGTACCAAGTTTCGTGGCAATCGGTTCAGGCGGTGTGTGAGTTTATCACTGCCAAACAAACAAATATATATACAAACATCCTCTTTTATACTTATAGATATCAAATTACAGTTGTCAACTTTGGTTGAGCCTTTAGATATGAGGGGCTAAAACAATGATGGTTAGTTTTAAAATTTTTACCCTTATAACTTAGGGATAGTGGTTGACTGGGGGTGGTAGGGGGTCCCTCAAAAATTTTTAACGGGAACAATAGTCTACTTCCTTTTCATTTTGCAGTCTTTAATGAAATGAAACAATTAATTGACATAAATAAAATCAAAATCGGAACACTAATTTTAAACGAGGGAATTTCTAAAACCCAGCAGAGAGGATACACTAGAAGACATATACACCAAATGTTCAAGTGAGCAAAAAGGGAAGGAGTGGTAATCACACCGAGATCCTTGATTCTCTAGACCACATTAAGACTGCTGCCATCGCGATGCAATAAACATACTCATGCACCACGCTACTTCGACTGAAGAACATGACCACACATTTCGAGACGTTGAGTTCCATAGCATTCAATTTACACCAGTTGTAAATGTTGTTGAGCGAGAGTTGGAGTTCTTCTTGGTTTATCTGTCGAAGTGATTTTGTTGAAAATCTTTATGTCATCAGCAAACAGAAGGAACATTGTTGTAATCGAATTGCAGATGTCATTGACGAACAGGTTGAACAGCAGCGGGCCAAGGTGAGAGCCTTGAGGCACTCCCGAAGTGACTGAGAAAGGGGGAGACAGGCCTCCATCACATTTAACAATGAGGATGCGACCTGTGAGGTAAAAATAAAACTCTTAATCCAGCAGAGTAATGAGCCACATGTGCCATATCCTTCTAGTTTTGCAATCAGCAGTCGATGGTCAATCCTGTCGAAGGCCTTACTGAAGTCCAGATAAACACAATCTACTTGAGAGTGTTCAGTGAACGCTGTCATTACGGCATTTTGAAAGATAAGGAGGTTGATACTGGAGGAGCAATTTTGCATGAATCCATGTTGTTCGGTAACAATGTGTTTGCTGAGCTGAAAAATTAAGGAATAAAGAATGAGACTTTCGTAAATCTTGGATAAGGCAGGCTGAATGGCAATAGGTCTGTAATTTCGTACGTTGTTTTTGCAGCCAGATTTGAATATGGGGACAACATAACTTTTCTTCAAAGACGAAGGAAAAACACCCACTTGGAGTAGTTTTGTGAAGTAAATATAGAGGTGAGGGGCAAGGAGAAAATGAGCACAGTATTTGAGTACAGCAGGTGGAATGTCATCCGGTCCAGCACTCTTGTTTGGATCAAGTGCCTCCAACTTACTTTGTACGTCTATGGCTGAAAAGTTGCAGCAGTTTATTGACTGATTCAACCCAAAGTCATAAGTTGGCTGTGGTATGTTGCTCAGGTTGAATACGGATGAGAAGAATCTTGAGAAAAGGTTACATTTTCCTCCTGCGTCAGTAGCCTCATCGGAATCAAGAAACATGGAAGATGGAAGAGAAGTTGAGCTTTTTTGACAGTTAACATAAGACCAGAAGGATTTTATATTTGAGGGGATGCTCTTCTCGACTTTGTTTAGATATTCAGAGTGGCATTGGCTGGTAAGTTGATTACAGATTCTTCTTATGTTGAAAGTTGATGTAGTCTTTCAATTATATCCAATATGAAGAACACCAAAACCCAAGACTATTATGGGTTTTCTAACTGGCTGATAAAAGAAGTTGCTGAACATATTGTAGTGCCTTTAACCCACTGTATAAACATCTGTCTTTGGGAAGGGGTTTTTCCAGAGGGTTTAAAAATTTCCAAAATTTGTCAAATTTTCAAAAAAGGGGAAAGAGACAGCCCAAGCAGCTATCGGCCAATATGTCTAGTACCTGTACTGTCCAAGGTGCTAGAGCATGTAGTATACAATCAGCTGACTAACTTTTTTGAATTAAACTCACTTTTCAACAAACATCAATTTGGATTTAGAAGTGGACAGTCCACTATGGATGCAATAGGTTCCATGGTTCATGACATATTGAACGCTTTTGAACAAAAAGAATATGCCTGGGCGACCTTCATTGATCTCAGCAAAGAGTTTGACTGTGTCGACCATGATGTCCTGCTCCATAAGTTGGAGTTTTATGGTGTTCAAATTAATGCTTTAAAACTGCTGAAGACATATCTTTGTAACCGAAGACAGATGGTTTGCAGTGGGGGTCGGTGGTCCGCAGTTGCCTTAAGCAACTGTGAAGGCTCAGTCTTGGGCCCTCTGCTATTCTTAATCTCAATAAATGATCTTCCATCCAGTCTCAAATGTAACACATACCTTTATGCTGATGACACAACTTTGCTTACACACAGCAGAGATATAGAATCTCTTGAGCTTGAGGCAAAAAACTCAGTAAAGGTAGCAGCAGAATGGTTCTCTGCGAAAAGCTTTCTGTTAAACAATGAGAAAACCCAAACTGTTGTCTTTGGACTTCGTAAAATTCCTGAAGCACAATGTGATAAGGTCAAAGTTGTTAAGTTTTTGGGTGTTTATGTGGATCAACTCCTGTCATGGTCATATCATGTTGAACATCTCTGTACTAGACTAAGTAGATTGACATTTCTTTTCAGAAAACTCAATGATGTTGTTCCTTTTGACTACCTATATAAAAACTGCCTATTTTGCACTTTTCCAATCAGCTCTTAATTATGGAATAATCTTTTGAGGCAGCAGCCCTTACATCACTGATGTTATTTTAATACAAAAAAAGGTGATCAGGATCATGGCAAATGCCAATCACAAGGAACACTGCAGACCAATTTTTGTAGTCTTTAAGATTTTGACCGTTGTTAATTTATTTTTATATAACATTTTGTTGACTAGTTTTAAGAACCTGAAATCCCACACTCTTAGGGGTGATGTACACAAGTTTAATACTAGGAATAGAGGTAAAATTGACATCCCTTATGTTAGACTTGAAAAAAAATGAAATCTAATTATGAAGTACTGGGACTCAAATGCCTAAATAAACTCCCCAAGGAAATACTGTTATTGAACAACAAAGCCTTCAAAAAAAAAATTCTTCTGTGGCTGACTGTACACCCTTTTTATGGGCTGGGAGAATTTTTTGAATGTTCAACCAATAGTTATTTGTGCAACTAGTGAGAAAAGTGTGCAATTGACTCACTCGAGAGAAATCCTTACTCACGAGCCGTAGGCGAGTGAGGAATGGTTTTTCGAGTGAGGCAATTGTACTTTGAACTCGAGTTGCACATTATACTTTTCCTACAGTTACCATAAAACAAATAAATTGGTGAAGAAACATAAACCTATTTTTACAAAGAAGTGAACTTTTAATATAACATTTAATGTGAAGTGACAAATATGACAGTACAACAGCTGACCAGCTGATTTACAGCCAGTGCTGCCAACGTATTTCGCGCACATACGACGTTGCCTGCATGTTACGCGCTCACTATTTCGTGCCTTCACGTTGCAAATCTGGAGTGAGAC